CATAAAGAAATGCACAACAGCACTTACTTCCCTCTTAACTGATGTGGGGGCATACTAAATAAATAAGTGCTAATTATCAACGGAGTCATAACCCATTTTATTTCCACTCAGTAAAACTCCACCTCAGACATGCAGAAATACCTCGATTCCATTCTGTTCCTTAGACAGCAATTTGTATTCAACAGTTGATACACAGTAAAAAAATGCTATCGATTGTATTACTACCTACCATATCATAAACTGGTTATGTATAGAGGCTCCCAAGAAGCAGAAACACCACACTGTGAGGATAAGGCAGAAGAGGAAACACAATGATTCCAAGTGACTATTCCTTCTCCCATGATTCTAGGCCTTTATAGAACTACTCCCACGATTTTATTCTTCTGAGCATTTTACATCAAACATTAATATTCAACTTTGTAAATTGTACTCTTCAAAGAGAGCATCTATTTTTCACCATCCATTAACCTAATGTCTTACCTCAAGAATATCTATTTTTCACAATCATACTCTAAGGTTGCACTGTTTCTCATAAGTATTTTTGGTTTTGCTCTTTTTGATACAGATAGGGTACAAAGTCATGCAGGCAATGACAAAGAAAAGTTTTCTTTAGCCTAACATAAACAATGTAATTGAGTCTAAGTGCATGCTTTGTTTTATTCTCAGGAAATAGACTGTTTCCTTACAATTTCAGTTACAAAATACAAAATGCATTATTAGGCTTTCACATTACTCAAGCTGAGGTCCATTAAATGTTTCTTACTGGAAGAAGCTACACTTCTATTTCACAGCAAAATGTAACAATTTTGGGCATTATCACTGGTATCACTCATGCCTTTTTATGTTACTGAAAAGAGAAAAACAAACCAAGACAGAATACTTTATTTACACTTCTATGCTTTTTAGAGAAACAGTACTTACTAAAAATCTATCAAGGTGTTTTAACTTAAGTACTGTTTGCCATATTCAACACTTCACTGTTCTTTAACTGTTCTATTTAAATGTCCAGGTCTACCAGGTGACAATAACACCTCTCAGAGATACCATAAGCAAAAAAAAATATTCAGAACAGCTTTTACACTACTGTAAAATGTAAAAGCTCCAACTAAGTTCCGTTTTAGAATGCTGCATGTAAAAATAGTTCAAATTATCCTTACCAGGCAGAGCTTGCAATTTAAACAGACAAGACAAAGGAAATATCCTCATACTTAAAAGGCATAAAAATTAAGGCATAAAGGCATAAATATTAAGTGCAGGTAAAGGCATACTTAAAGGCATAAATATTAAGTGTAGGTAACACAGCCAAATTACAGTGCAAATTTGTCAAAGGTGCTCCGTGTAGTGAGCAGAGTAAGAAAGCAAACAGGAGCTTCCAATTCATAGAATCATAGAACAATTACGGTTGGAAGGGACCTTATAAGCTCATCCAGTTCCAATGTCCCTGCCATGAGCAGGGACACCCCCCACTAGACCAGGTTGCTCAAAGCCTCATCCAACCTGGCCTTGAACACTTCCAGGGATGGGGTATCCACAACTTCTCTGGGCAACCTGTTCCAGTGTCTGACCACCCTCACAGGAAAGAATTTCTTCCTAATTTCTCAACTAAACCTACCTATCTAAATTCCCCAATCCCTATCCCAGCCATAAGCCCCACAACACCACAACAAACTTTCTTAGATAGATAAGCATTTTCTTGTTCCTGAGGAGCAGGAGAATCTTTTCCACAATTCAATGCTGCTTCCTTTATCATCTAGTCTAACGAAATACAGTGACCTTCTTTACTCTGTCACACTTGCCATGCAAGGGAAAAAAGATTACAAAGCATCTGTCTGCAAATGTAGTTTCAAATTGCACAGTTTTGGAAGAGATATACATAGGGTTCTGTCCAGCACTGTTGAATTTGTAGTACTGTGCAATCTACCTAAATCAAAGGAGAAATAAGGACCCATTTCTACTCAGATATTCCTTTACGCTGTCAACAGTCCTGCAGGACAGTGGAGTGCTCATACTTACTGAGATAAATTGTGACCTGCTTTTACCATTACCAAAGGTCCTGTGTGCAATACAGTCTCAGGTTTTGGATATGGCATACACCAGAAATCAACCCCAGAATACTGTTATATTAAAAATATCTGGAAATCCCGATCATTTATTGTTGTGATTTTTAGAATGTTCTGAAACATTGTCTTCAGTGCCATGATATCAAACTTCAAAATAAGTTTTATCTCAGTCTTACATGTCAAGAAAAACTGAAGAATGCACGTGAAATTTTTATGTCAATTCTGTGCAGAAATATCTCTTCATTTCAGTCAGTTGTCTGCTTACGAAAGCTGTACACTGCAAACTCATTCTCTACAAATATCTTTTTATCCACTGCAACCCAGAAAATGAGAACAAAACTTGCTGACTCTTCATTTCATAGCCAGATTTTGCAATACCATAAATTCCTGTTTGCCTACCATATAATGATATTTTCTAATTTCATTACTTTAGAATATATTGTCTTGAAATCCGCAGTGTATTTTTCAGAGTACACTTTCTGTATTTTCTCAGTTGCACATAATTGCTCAAATTTACAGTTTGGAAGTGTTGTTTTCCAGATTAAAAGAAAAAAAAGTTTGCCTATTCAGATTCAGCAGTGTCCTGATCACAACTTCTGTGGAGATGTTTGATTCCTTATTTCCTTTCTTTCATTGGCATTTTATAGTTCTGAGTCCATTTCCCCCCACCACCAATCTTAGCCTTGCTATAAAACTGGTCACATTTTATGTCATATTCTTTAAACTGGGTCGGTACTGTACATGTCTTAGGCTGCCTATTTGTCCACAGATTTTTCTCTAGATGTATTTTAGGCGTAAAAGTAACAAAATCGGCCACTTTTCTTCTTGCAGTGGAAATCAATTATTCTTTCAGGCTAATTCCAATATTTCCTTAGAGATTATGGCAAAGGAGAAAAAGAAATTACTCCTAAAAGCAAGATGACATAATATCACAGTTTACAAGTCACTTCACCTGGAAGGGTCCAAATTCTCCAACTAGATCAGGTATTCAGAGCAAGAAAGAGAACCTTATGCAAAACGTAAAATCCTTAATTCATAATTACTTCCCTCATGGGAACACAGTACCAATAAATGCATCTATATGTTTATAAAGCTTTTAACAATTTTGAGCTTAAAGGGAATTTTAGAAATATAAAGCAATTTTTTCAGTTTATCCAAACAAATGTATTTCAGACACTGTGTATCAAGGTAGCCCTGTGAAACAGATGAACAGTATTTGTCGATTTTTAAAAGACTTAAAAGGTGTCTAAAGGTCTGTTTTATAGAGGAAATTACACTAAACCACTAGGGATTTCTTTTTTCTGGCTATATAACGTACATATCTGAGATTTGGTGGCTATACAGGGACATCTTTTACTCCGTATCCAACTGCTGGAACTAATGACAGTACAGGAATATCACTGAATCACTTTGGACATCTAAATCACAAAGTCTCTGTTATTTTGGACTCACAGCTGCCTTTCTGAACAAATTGTGGTGACAAATTCTGTTATTGCCAAAGTCAATGTTCTCGAGCAGAACTAACAGCATTGCAGCCCTGACAGAACATACAAATTCCTAGACGTTTGCAACTGAGGAACGCTTTGCTGGAGAAGTTACATCCATGCTATGGTAATTCACTTCTGTGACACCTTGACTTGCCTTTAGGACACTGGTATCTCTGTTGGAGCTAGTCTATGTTTAGATTAGCTTATCTTTGGGCCAGCTATCACTCACTCAATTGTATAAATTCTGATGCATTTGGTCATGCCATCAAGAATCATGAAAGTGTACTCCAATAACATGACTAAATTTTAAACTGTAACAATTATCTAAGAGGGACCTGGATCAAACTAAATCCTGGCTTAGGTGGTGCTATTGCAATGTGCTGCAATGCACTGCACAATGGTCTCAGAGTTGCTGTGCACTGCTGAGGAGTGACTGCATTCATTTCTTTGTGAGTAAAGAGAACAAGCTATGCAAGAAATTAGCTGAAATACCACCTCTATTTTTCCAGCAAAAAACAAAGCACCCCATTCAAAGCCATGCCATTTGTTTTTTCCTTGACAGAGTCACTGAACATCAGTCTTACTGAAGTTTACAGCAACAGAGTAAAGGCAAAGAACATTTCTCTTACAGACCACGTCAAATTTTTAATCTCAAAGCAGTTCCCAATGTTTATGAAAACAAAGGCTTCTTATGTCTGAGAAGCTATTCAAATTTAAGAATCCTAAAGCACTATGAGCTCCTAGGTCTAGCTACATACCACAGATTTACACATACCACAGATTTACTCTCACTCCCTAATGGGGCAAAAATCCTCTGGGGAAAAAAAAAAAAAAAAAGGGAGGTGTATTGACAGGACAGGATCTATGTCATACTTCTACAGATCCCTAATCTGAATGGTCAGAAGATCAAGAATTGATGGCAGGACCCAGGGCAAGAAGTCAGCATACACATAGGCTGACTTCAGTTAGCCTCAATCCATCACTACCAAAAAAAAACCCCAAAGCCCCTTCTATTGCAAACTGTGATCCCAATCTTCATTACTTTCTTTATGAAAAGTTTGTACAGAAACAAACATTCTCAGCCCTCTGCAGTTTAAGTTCCACCAGTTTTCCCCACACTTAAGTCCCTACCAAAACCCGTACTGACTGAAGGGTGTGCCCTCATTGGTATAACTGAGCAGAAATCAGGAAATTCCTCTCATAAAAAGTCACTGGCTCTCAACTGTTCAATGGCTTATAGCTAGAAAAGAAAAGCCTATCATGATGACATTAAGACAATCACCATCCATTTCCTTATACATATTTACATATTTTAAGTGTACCTTGACTCCAGTCCTATACTCATTCATTCATACAAAATAACTGGCTTTATTTGGTTTCCTCACAAGTCAGAAAAAGTATTTAGTCCCTTCTATACAAATCACAAAGGAAAATTTTAATATAATTTACTTACCGAAGGATTTCTTTCCGAGTGAAGAACGTGCAATCCTGTTAAAAAACAAAATGTGTTATTATACTACAGAAATATTGAAAACAACTGCAAAGAATTATTTTTCAACCTTTTGGAAGGAAACTTAGATCTGGTAGAAAAAAATTAAAGATGCACTATCTGCTTTTGACTCAAAAAGCAATATGTGCTATAAAATAATTGAAATATCCTAAGGATATAATTAAAATATCCTAAGGCTATCAAAAGAAATATTGTTAATCTGAAGCTTCAGAAGGAAAAAAACAACAAAACAGTTTGCTGAAATACTTCTCTGCTGTGGAATGACCAGACGAGAAACAAAACTAAATCAAGAAAGTAAGGTATAGGCCAAAAGCATTCAATAAATGGATCTAGAAAGCTACAAATAACAAATAGATGAAGAAAATTATCTTCTAACTTGGAGCAGTCCTCTATTAGAGACAACCAATTTAATAATAAAAGCCATGTACTTATTTATTAACTCTTTTTGTGAACAATTAGTCTGTGCTGTGGTCACTTTGGCAAAGGCTAAAAACTCACGTATGTTAGGAACATGGACAAAAAGACAGCCCCTGCTCCAAACAGCAGGTAAACTATTCTGCTTTCCCCTCTGGTATCACATAATTTGAAATAACTTCCTAGAGTGCAAAGTGTTGCTGGCTGAACATGAAAGAAGAGCTTACAAGCATTCGCTTGCATTCTGAATGGCTCTGTCGTGTGACCGCATTTACACTGCTTTAATTCCTCTTTAGGAACACCTGCATCTTGCTAGAAGAATTAACACCCTTCACAAAAGGACTACAATGTGAGCAGTGAAATAGTTTGCATTTCATGTATTTCTACATCAGTCACAAAACAAGTTGTATTTTCAGATGTTGTGAGGAACCATAATAAATAACAGATATATCCCCTAATCTCCACTATCTTCTCTAACATATATTTAGCAAAAATTCTGGCCTGCATCCAAAACTGGGAACACTGGTGGCAATGAAATATTGGGTGATCAGTTTCAAACATTTTTCAGGTCATAAATTCAGAGAATATGCATCTTGTCTTAGAGCCTAGCGGCCAATGAGGGTGTGTACATAGGACACAACAACCAAACCATAAAACTCTACCTGATTCCACCTCTCTCCCAGGCCCATGTGATTTGTCAAGGCATTTGCCTAAGAATTCAACTCTTAGTAGTTTTCCTCTTTTAATGTAAACATATTTTAAATAGATCATATTTTTAAATCAGCTAGTGACAAGAAAACAACATTGAACTTAGTAAGTCATACTTAAGAGTACATAAAACTAGAATGACTCCTCCAGTCCTGCTCTTCAGTTAACTAGTGAGAAAACATTTATTTCCTAAGCTGAGGATCATTCTGGCTTAATGCCTGCTTCTTCAAAGGAGGGGAAAAGCAAACGATCACAGCTAGCTGAAGCAGTCAAACAGTTTGTCTCAGGTATCCAGGTATGCTATCAGTCCTGCATGGTATCAATTATTGAGTTTGCTTGCTCTCCTAATAAAGTGGTAGGAGAAGTAGCTCTTCCTTTAGTGTATTGTGTAGCAGAATAGTGTTACAAGGCACAAGAGGAAGCACCTTGTGAGCTGCTGACACTGATGTCACATTGTCTGGAACTGCACAAAGTGAAATAGGAGCCAGCTGGTTAAGTCTTCATTAATTCCAGCACATTCGACACTTACGGTCAAACTGTCTCTTAAAGATGCTTCATTTACTAATGAAAGGCAGGTGCAATCTCACAAATAATTGTAATGCCCTCAGCAGCCATCATCCTGTAATGATACAGGCTTGAGAGAGCAGCAGACACTGTTACTTAACTAGAAAGCTGACAAAGAACTGATATGCAAATAGAGATAAAAGATGAAGATGAAAAGCTACCCTCTACCTTCCAGAAATCATGCAAAAAGGTCATTGGAAGACACATTAAGAGATCAGGTCATAAACCCTTTTTGTTGAAGGTTCACATATATTTTTTTTTTTTTAATCTGAGTCACCTCACATCTTTGACAATCACTATTGTCTGCCTTTTTCAAAAAAAAAAAAAAAATCAAACAATTTTTTTACTACAATAATCGAAAAACCACTGACATTGAAAACCTTTATAATAGAAGTAGTTGCAAGTACCTGCCTGACCACTGCTACTGAACACAGTATTCCAAGTATGCCTGCCAATTACATGGAACTGTGTGTCAGATGAGGGGTGTCAAAAAAACAAACAAACAAAAAACCAAACCAACTTACAGTGTTTTCACAGACCACTTGCAGAGATCTTAAAGCTACGTGGGGTCAGAGCACCACAAATTAATTGTGACCTTGCCTGTACTTTTGATCCACAGTAAGATCATACACACCACTTCAGAAATGCTTTGTCATTAAGAAGCCTGTCAGGTCTCACATGGCAAATGTAAAAACCATGGCTCAAAGCTATCTCTGAAAATCCAGCCACCTCTTTTGCTTCTCAGCTTTTATTTCTGCCTCTTCCTTTATGCAGACTGCACACCAATGAGTAGTATAACTGCAACACAGAACTCTGAAAGAGGGAACTAATGTGTTTGGAAGCTAACCTAGCAAAAATGGATTCATTTCCAGCTTGGATCATTTCCTTTTAGTAGCTTAGAATATAGCGTTGGAGGTGCTGGTAGAAGAGATTATGCTGAAACAAGTATCTGTTGATGGCAGGAAAGAGGTTCAGGAAAGCACAGCCCTAAGCTGGATTAAAGTCATGATGGAACAAGGGTCTAAATAACATAATTACATTTTATAGTTGCTGGAACTCCAGCAATTTAATTCCAATTTAATTAAAGACTTTTGGCCAAAGAAACACGGAGGTGAATCATCCAATTTTCTTCTGGCTACTTCATTCATACAGAAAACACACAATGATGGATAATAAATAGTAAACTAACCTGTTAAATTAACTCCCTCATAAGGAAAGGTAAAATGCGTCCTGAAAACCATTTGTCATTTATGCATAGATTAAATCCATCTTCCTTCAAGCCAACAATATCATGGAACACATTTGCTATTACATGGACTGTATTTGAGTTTATTATTAACTTAAAAAGCAATGTGTTTATTCTGTCTGGACACTAAAGCCACTGGGAGTCCTGCTAGAAAAGCACAAACTAAATATTGAACAAATAAATGCCACCAGAGTTTTCATAATTCTTACCCATTCAAGACTCTGGGAAGAATTTGTCCTGAGAATTGTTGCTTTTATTTCTAATGCTATACAATGACCCGAAAAACTACTGCTAACAGAAGGCCCCTTGTGGGTTTTAGGGTATTTAGAATAGAGGCTTTACCTTGGAAGGGTACCTACTCTAGTGCCTGAGAAAATACATGCTCCTATTCTAAGATCAACTGTCCTGCTCTGTCTGGTCTTGTGCCCTTAATAATGAAGTTAGAAGTCTCACATAAAGGATCACTGCTGGGTTTTTTGGAGGTAAAATATCACTTAAACAAATCTGCAATTATCCACTTAACTTACCTTATGTCTTGCAAACTGAATAAAATAAACAGAAAATTTCTCATTGATTTCAGTGAGATCATTAGTTTGTATAATGGGACTCAGTTCTCAAATCTGGCATTTCCATGGCTCGTTCTTAAAATATTTTGCAGAGAAAAAGAGTCTGCTGGTGTACTTAGGTTCCATGGTGGTTTTGCTCTTGGCTGGCAGTGTGACCTTCTGCAAGTCTCTCAACTTTGCTTGTAAAGTAGGGTCAACGGCCACTGCTCTTAAAATTTACATTATAAAAGAGCATAATGTACAGGCTGTTAGGGTTTTATTCTTGGATTTCCTGTGTCAGGTGAATGCAGGTTTAGGACAAAATGGGAACAGATGGAAACATGGTGGTCCACTACCTTTTCCACCAGCCCATAAGACTACTGCAAACTCCCAGAGAGGTTCTGCTTTATGTTTAGTACAGGAATCTGAACAAAAAATAGGAATAGAGATAACTGTGCTGAGAATGCTGATACTTAACTTCATGTAAAGTGCATGTACACAGCGTAACATGAGGTATGTCTCCAGAATCAGAGACTTTGGATCTGTCATTTGTTCTGTTGGATCTATTGCCAATACCAGAGAACAGCGTGCAGTTTATGAATGGCAGAAGAGTCCACTGAATGAAAGATTATCACTGACCTCTTTTAGAAGCAAGTACTACTGTGCATAAATCACAGTTTTCAAATAAAACTAATTTCACATAGATAAGCAAAACACTTCTCTACAGAAAAGAAAAAAAAATGAGAAAGGAACAATACAATGAAAGAATAGCAATGCTCAAGCATGTAAAATTACTGTGAAACATTAATTGCATATCTCTCCTCCAAGACAATACACATATAATTCTGCCTTTTATATTCATAGTTTCATAAGGGCAGGTTAATTCTGATCCCACAACAGCTCCATTGGAAAGTTTTATTTATAAAGAAATAATATAAAACAGTCTTAGCAATACAGAATCACTCCAAATTAGAAAAACACTCTCAAACAAAAGCCAGCAAGCCACAGATAAAGTAAACCAATGACTAACAGGAATTTTTACAATATCCTCCAGTCAAGAAAGATTAGATTCGTACAGCTAACTTACTGAGCAGCTTTTAATAAATGGGAAGTACTGAATACTACAACATTTTAAATATTAACATTTCAAACAAATTATTTTAGGTTTCATTTTTAAAATCACAATTGATCTTTTGTACTGCCAAAAGTACACAATGTGTGTAAGAACATTTAATTAAAACACCATAAAAACATGATCCTATGGAGTAATCAAAAATCTAAGTTAAAAGGTGGTGGATAGGAGCAAATCAATTGTCATATAAGATCTATTATTAACTCTTTTCTGGTCACATTTCACAAATGCAATACTTGTATCCTAGTTGGTGTACAACTAAGACTGGTATAGAGTTTGTGCAAAGACTGAGTCAGCAGGATATTTATATATTTTCATCAATGTAAATATATAAAGAGTTACTGGAAGTCAATAAGACTAGCACCAGTCTTTAGGTTGCATAACTGTGCAAGTACTTCAGTGAATCCAGATTTAAACACTAAAAAAAAAAATATTACTGTCATACTTTAGTATCTGCTTTAATAGTAGTATTGGTATATAGACTTTTATCTTAAAAAATGCTGGTTGCATCAGAATGTCAATGGAGATTTTAACATCTGCAATATATATATATATTTGTAATCATATATATTTTAGAACTATAGCCAGAACAACGAAAACACAGAGTTTCAGGAGGAAAAATCTGCAACTATAAGAACCAGTTTATATATTTATACTGCAACATGGGAGTAAACACACTTAGATATTAGCAAGGACTGAGGAAGAAGCAAACTGTCAACAAATGTAATTTTGTTCAATCTATATATGCACCAAAGGGTAATAACCAGAATCTGACATCTGACTAAAGGGTAATTACCCTAAAGGGTAAAGCCTTATTCCATTATTACGTTGCTTAAATTTGCACATTAATGGCAATATTCTGACAAACTGAAAAGTACTTTTTACAGAAGCTCCTAGAGAACCTGTGATTAATAACTTTTTGTATTCTTGCAAAGTGTTAATTTTCATCAGAGATTCTGATCAAGTCAAGCATAGCTCTTTAAATCAAAAGAGAGCTTGATGACCTAGTTTAATTTTAAAAATGGCATTCCTTGATAGATCATAACATAACTTGTTTCACCTGGTTTTGCATAACTCATGAAATATAGTTGAATTCCATTTTGACTAGAATTTTAATAAAAGGAAAAATGTTAGCTTTGTAATAGACAAATTATTGTGTAAAAAAAGAAAGCTATTATTTCATATTACTATCTTTTATTGTAATATTGCCTAGAAGACAGTCAGGACAAATATCAGTTTGTTTTGAGGCTGCATTAAATAATGCAGAGTAAATAATCCCATTAATGAACAAATACAAAAAGAAATGGCTTGCAATAAAAACAGTAATAGCTGATATAAAATATCTGTGCCCTATATTCTCTAGGTTCTGTCTATTAAGAAAAAAAATTAGAACCAAATCCATATAAAATTCAGACCACTTATTCAAGGAACCCCAGAAAAGGCAATGAGATTGACTGAACAGTGGAATAGTTTGTCTATACCCCAAGCACAGCTTCTGTGTATTTCCTACTCAATATAATTGTTTCTCGATGAGAAATGCATTGCACTGAGGCCAATATACAGCTCTGATGTTGCTTTATTGTATACCTGTATTTTTTATTGCTTCAAGCATCTTTATAGAGCATCACTCAAAAAAGCTCTCAAATTTCCATTCATTTTCTTTTCTCATTATGAGACTTGACCTCTCTGAAATCTGTAGACAACCTGTAAAAGCTTAATTTTAAAATTTTTTGATTGCAATGAAATGCATCTTTCTTGTTGATTAATAGTTACCTTTTCCCTAGCCAGACCTTGTTTAGATTTTGCATTTTATATAAAAAACCCCAACCAAACAAAAAGAAAAACTCACAAAACCAACTCAAAATAGTTAAGTACTCTAAGGACATAAGAAGCAGAAATCCCAAGTATAATTAATTTTTGTAAAAGGCTAACTATTTAATGAGGTGAATCTCAATGAGGAAACCAATGTTTGCAAAAGCCTAATTTCCAAAACATTTCACTAAGCTTAGAAAATTTAAAGAGCTGCCAACTAGAACATTATCTTAGTAACAAGTGATATGATAAAGTGTCAGGAGATTTGCAGCTTTCCAGTCCTTCTTTAATTTGCATCTACGTATTTCAAATTAAAAAAAAAAAAAAAGCTATGAGAGGTCTAATATTATCAAGTCCTACTATGCATCCTTTTTACAAACACTTTCAATTGATCACCCATCACCAGTCTTAATGAAGAGTATTTAAAGAGCTCATCTATTAAAAACCATTTAGGTAATCTTGCAAGTGACCAAATATAAAGGTTCTGCTAAAAAGTGACTCTTCAATATGACAGTTTATATGCAAAAAAGTTTATGCATGGGCATTTCAGAAAGTTTTAGACAAATCAAATAAGATTATTTTATTTCATTAATATACTATTAATGATCTGAGATTGATGTATGCTAGCTCTTCAAGCAGGTGATTTTTCTGCAGCTTAAACTTTACTCCTGAAAACTGAAGCCACTTACATATGGTTTCACCATACTCTAAGCACATTAACTTCTCACTTTTCCATCTCATAGCATCCCCTATGGAAAAAGGGCTTAAAACATACTGCATTAAAAACAAAATTTCACTACTAAAGTAGCATTCAGGTGCTGAGAGAAATTTGTGTTAAAGGCAAAAATGGTGGAAGTTACAATCAGATAATATAATTGCAAAAAATATATCCCAATAGAGAAATTATAAGTCTAACCATGAAGGGAGTGAGGTTTTCAACAGTCTTCTAATTGTATTATTGTGAGGAGTACAGTACCAACTCATAAACATAAAAATTCACAAGAAGTTGCCTAGTTCTCATTTAGGAAAAAAAAAAAAATCAATGATCCATTTTAAAAGCAGCTTATACATAGATGCCTGGCTGTACAATGGGGTACAGATGTGCACAAGAGACTGTTGCAAAGTGGACCCTGGTACACAGTGTTTTACTTTGGTCCAGTGTTCAGAGGATCTGGCCACCCAAGTACTGGTTCAAGACATGAAGAATTTGCATTTTAAAAATTATGGAACCATTACCCCATTCTCTCAAGTCTCTGTTCTGAAGGAATGATGAGAAAAGGGCAGATAAGATGTCAAACTCCAAGTCAAACGGTTCCATTTGTATTACAGCAACTGCATATTCCTGCAGAATGCAGTGGAGAGGCAAGAGCTCTCTCTGTGGATGGCTACAGCAGTAAGACCAGGATTTCTATGTTTAAGAGATCCAAGAGATACGCAGTAACTAATGGATCAGAGGCAAATCACCATCAGAATAAGGACTTTATCTGACTGTTCACAGCACGAGGCTAATATTCCTTCCTGACAAATTCTGGAGGTTATTGTCCTGAAACTTGTTATTTTACTGTACTTACCAGATATAACATGTACTATCACTAGTCAAAATCATCTAGCACTATACTAATGAACTACAAGTCTGCCTGTAACAGACAAATCCCATAGGCTGACTCAGGGCCTAACTACTGCCAGGCTTTGAGATCAATTACCCAGCATTATGAAAGGCAGGGGCTGCAAAAGCCATTAGAGAAAGGCAATTTCTACATGAAGAGCAGTGAATTAGGGATGACATTTCAGCTCTTGCATTTGCCAGTTTATGTCAAGAAGATAACATTAATTACATTTGGATTTTGTTTTGTTTCACTGCAGTTGGGCTCTGTTCTGTGTTCACTTTTATTGGTAGGAGGAAGACAGACACTGGTGTTTTACAGATCTTTGATTTTCCTCTTGCCTATCCAGCAGAGATGCAAAAAAGTCTTTTTGAATCTTAGATTACTAACTCTAAGACCACTAACTTAGACTAATTATTACAGTGACAGACTGCTGCTGAGGCTGAGATGTGTGACAAAGTGGAAATAAAAGCGGCTCAGTTTTCACCCTTCCTACAATGACAAGAAAAAGGCTAGGAATTTTGTAAGAACATTTAATTTATGCCTTATTTTCAGCATGGGATAACATTTTACAGCATTTTAAAGCATTTCGGCATACATCTCTGGCCTGACTCTCTGTAACCAAACATCCACACACCGGTGAGAAGTCCATGGTAGCAGTAACTCCAAAGAAAATTAGTATATAAGATCATAGTTTCTACTTCAAGGGTTTGAGTCAAAGATCCTGAAGGTAAAAAGAAAGCTATTTACTTTTGTGTGCACAGGATCTGTCCCTTGGTTATCATGAGAAAAACCACATGCTGATCTCCTGCACTGTTAATTCTGTTTATTGCTTCATGTAAGAGAACAGAGCAATGCAGCCAGCCCTGTCTGCATCTCACAATAAGTAGTCAGCTGCCTCCTTCCTCAGCACACTTCTATTTGATATATTGTCTCACTGTATTTTCAGAAACTTGTTCAAGACACCCACTGTGCAGACAGCTTCCCGCAATCCATTTCAGTAAGATTTGCAGTGTGCTAAATTATAACTGCAAACTGGGAATTATTATTTTTTTACCCTATTAAAAATCCAGTTGATGCAATCTGAAGCAAATAAAGAAGTATCAATAAGCTATCCCTGGACATAAAGCGCATACTTCTGTTTAGGTAAAAAACTGTCATCCAGGAGTGGATGCAAGCATAAGGATACCTACTCTGGAATGATATTAAGCATATTTCTATGAATTATCCTTAGGAGAAGTGAAATTAGACAAGACCTTTTTTTTACTTTTTCTCCCCGCTCCATTGCCAGCAAAGGCATCAGGGAGAGAAAAAGAGATTATTGCTACACTTTCCTCTTTACAAAACACTCAATAGAAAGATTCTACTAAGAATTCCCATTGTCAAGCTAGTCAGTCTTTATCCTGCTTCCTAGTACAGACACTGAGGATTTTACTTCTTTCCTTGTATACACAGAAGGGAATTAAACTGAGTATATTCAACAACCCAGCCTTAGAATACTATTACAATTGCTGGGAAGGAACAGTAGAACATATGCATGCAGGCTACAAATGAAGTTTTCATTTGTATGTGGAAAAAACAATCCCCAAAACAAAAAAAACCCCACAAACATATTAAAATTTCTCCTTTTCTCCCTCTAATGCAAACTAAGGTATCTTACCTGGTAGGCATCTAGCTGTTCATCAGTAAATATCGTTTGCTTATTACCCATCTTAAATGAGGAAGTCTTCCTCTATGCAAATGCATCCCATTAGAAGTAGCTGGATTCCTCTGTATTGTAGGCATTTAAAGCATATTCCGTGAATATGCGGAAGAAATCCCAAAGCCTGCATTGAACTGGTTTTGACTGTACCTGTCCAATGAGGAAGGACACAGTATTGGGAAATCTTTGCAAAGGCTTGATGTGAGTGTGCTGGGAAGGAAAGCGTTAAAATCACAGGCAGGTGTCGCCCAGAAACAGCGATGCCATCCTCCCCCTTTTCCAGATGCTTTTCTAAGAGGTATGCAGAGCTTTTATAACATAAAAATCGAGAAGCCAGGACTAGAGGAAACCAGCTCTCTACTGCCTCAGTGTCTGACTGCCTTGTTCGCTCTGCCACTTCAGGGCACTCCTGCTCGGCACCTTCACGTTTCAGAGCAGCTTTGCGTCACCCCATGGCGCTCGGCAGCGCAGTCGTATTACACACGCACAGAGCAAATCTCGTAACCAGAAAAATGCATTAGCAGAGTAAACGTTACTGAAGGTGCTCTCCCCACAGATAAAGTACATCCTAGTCGGTGCTTGGATCTGACCTGTAGCATGCTGTCAATGTTAAGCACAGCTGAATGGAGTCTCAAAGTGTCCAGAAGGTCCCCACAACATCACCAGGTGCTGCAGGGGTTCCCCAGTAAATGCCTGTGTCTCCACTGTGGCTATAACCAGCCCTGGCTATCAAGGATGTGAGTTCACTACCAGAGGTTCCAAACCCCCAGGTATACCAGTTAGTATGCAAGTATTCCTTCTCACATTAAATACATAAATTTTGAAAAAACCCAGGAAGATTAAAGTAGTTTAAGCAGACGCCAATCTGATTCCTTTGACTCAAGCAAGCACAGCTGGAAAATAAAAAAAAAATGTTACCACAGCCTAAAGCAAAGGTAAAAAGTACCACTAGAGGGCTCGCGGCGTGTTGTATAAAGTAATACAGCCCCATCTCTGTATTTCTGGGAAAATTTTAAAAATAAATATATAAATAGAAAATAAAAGACCACGTAAGAGAGATGCAGGCAGGAAAACAAATACACTCAAACAAAAGTATGTTCTCTAACAACTACAGAAGGATAAGATCTTATAACAAGAGTAGGAAGAAGGCTGAATTAGAAAGGATGGGAACAAGGAGGAAAGACCTGTTAATGAGTAAGTTTCTTTGGATTGCTCACTTCCCATTTGTGCATATAGGAACGAGAGAGGGTAAAATTCCTACCTTCTTTATGCATAGCTCTGCCAATGGCCATTATTTCCTCAGCAAGTTATCATGTTTAATAAAACAACACCCAGAGAATTAACTGTTGCTTTTTCCTTACAGCTTCAAATGATCCTGACATGATAACAGCACTGGATAATATGATTTCAATTTACAATGGCATATAACAACAAAGAACAAACATTTAACAATAATACTGAAAGTAAAGGTATTGTGTACATAGTAAAAATATACTATGAAGTGTGTTGAATACTTAGTAATAACATCATCTGAAGTGCTGAACTGTTCTTAGAGACGACTTATTTAGATTGTAACATTTAGAAATGCAGATTTCATTAGCAGCTGCAAACCAGCGTGGCCCTGAGCTACAAAACCACAAGGTATATGTGGTTTTATTTTGCATATATATAATATATGCAAAATAAATGTCTTGGGACAAGAATGTATTCAATAAGGCTTATTACCAACAGGCAAACATCAGAATTTTAACAGTGAAATAAATGCATTCTACCAATAGAATATATTGCAGCACAGTTTCAGAATAAGAAGGAAGAAGCTACAGTAGTAAGGACAATACAAACTCTGAATGACCTACTATCTGATCAAGAGCACAGCAAGCAACTCTTCAACTATCAGACAGTTGAATCAACTGTGTGTTACATGGCCAATCTGACCTCTGCTTTTCTAGCCACTAGTGTTGTGGGTTTTTTCTTTGCCAATACAATGGTATTGGATTCTCATTATGTTCCAAAAGACTCTCCACGAGTAAGTCAGAATGTAAAGAAGAAAAAACCCCAAATATGCAAAATATAGTATTTCTATTCCTTAAAAGTGCTCTTTCAACACATTTTTTTGAATCAGAAAAAAACAATCCATAAGGGCTCCTTGAGATTACACGCCCTCAACTCTGAATGAGCTTCCTCGTTGGCTTTAGTGGTTATAAGTGCATATAATTAAGCGTGTTTCATATCTATGATCTGGTGCTACTGAAATGCAAGAGCTAGCAGCTGTTCTCAGTCAGACCAGACCAATACTTAGTCAAGTGATTTGCATGAAATAGCACTCCATTCACAGCCAGCTAATGAAAGTTGCCTGCCTATGCAAATCAGATTAAATATAAATGGCCAAATTATCTTTAATGCCATTATACAGAAGTGAATTGACACCAGGGGTGGATTGGGCTCCCTATCTTTTAAGCTTGTGATTCTGTACACTTACAGTATTCTTACAGTGAAGAGACTGACATCTTGTTTCTTCATTTTCACCTGCTTTTATATTCCAGGCTGCCTGGTCCCACCACATGCCAGAGGGCAAACATATCAGCTGGTCTCTATCTTTAGAATCAAAATAATAACAACAAAAAACAGAAGGGCTAAATGGAAAGCATCAACTAGGTAAGACCTACTTGTGGTTACAAAGTAGGCTAGAGGCAGAGATCCTGAGGTTCAAAGGTATATTCCTGCTTATGCCTTTGGGCCTGGCTTTCCACTCTGCCTCCTCCACTTTTCTCTTGCATATTAGAAATGCTTTGGTTTTACTCTAATGTAGAGTAATTATGCAGCAAAAGTGGTATGGCTAAAAGAGTTGATTGCTTTAAAAGAGTCAGAAGTTCTTGCTTTAAAAGAAAGACTTAGCTTACCAAGGAAATGGCACCCACTGAGTATATCGACAGAAAATAAACGGGTTTTCAATTCTTCCTTCCATATTCCGAAGAGTATTTTTTATTAGTAAATAAAATTTAAATGCACAGATTTTTAAAAAGAGGATTGAAATACTGATTGTTGAAGGTTCCACTATACTAGCTAGCTCTTCTCAAGCATGTTATACTGGTAACTATACTTCACTGTATAATTATCTTTCTATACTAACTGGGTAAAATTTAAAGACAGTATAACACACGAACTCTTTCTCACTCCTACCTGTTTGTATGTATCAAGGATCAGATAATTTTTTCAGTTTCCTCTTTTTCACGTCTATCTGTTTGTATTTAACAAAGATTAGTTTTATTTGTCTACTGGGTGTTAAGCAATATTTACTCCCAGCATAAGTTACCCCAACAAATCAATACTTTCCTATGTGGACAGCAAGACCTGACCTTAATGCTATCAGTATCAGCCTTTCATCACACTTTACTGTACTTCAATTTCTCTAAACTGTTTGTCAAAGCAAGTAATTAAGCTATTAGCAACACATAATATATATCTTGCAATCAGTTGCAAATAGTTTAATAGGGAAGGACAGTATATATACAATAGTCATGCCATTACAATGTTATACCAGAGAACATGGTTAATTAGCCACTGTTCATCTGCACTTAAAGTTTAATTAATGGAGCAGAAAATATACTATCAGCCATGTACACCAGATTTAACATTTTATAGCAAGATGGCTGTCAGCTGCAACAGCATAACAGCATTTAAGGCTGCAATCTGCCCCAGATCCAGGGATGTGTTTCCACACCCGCAACTCAGGGAGTGGGACAAATCATGCTAGCGCTCCTGATGGCCTTCAGGGCAAAGTCTCCTGCTCTGAACTGTTGCTAGCCATGCTTGCTATACCAGGTGACTTTGTTCTGATTTATTAGTAGAGGTGTAAGTTTAATAACCTCCAACAGACAGGTCATACTACCTTAAATTGCCTCTGTAAATTATGCAGTGAGAATGTGACTGTGGTTTAAGTATGAAAGCTCTTATTCCCCATCAGCAGACGATCAAGCTACTATGAACAGAGATCACCTTACCTGTTAATGAGAGAATCCACATAGAGTTTTAACAAACAAGTTGCACATCTACTGTCTTGACTGCTTAAGTTGGTTTGCTACAACTTTTAAGTGGGGTGAAAAGGAACTGCAAGATTTCATGCCCATTACACCCAAGAATGCCAAGAATTTTCCTCCCATACAGATGCTTCCTTGCAGATTAGCTCTTCATAAAGATTCGCTGTTAGCAAAAAGAACAGTTTTTACCTAGAAAGGTTACCTGTACATTTATTCTGTTGCTACATTCTATGAGTCATTAGGCACTCTAAAAAAAAAACCAAGTGTAACAATGATCATGACTTCCAATGATTACAAGAGAAAAGTTTCATTCTCCACTGATGCTGTGGAGATTCCCCCTGAGACTTTGGGCCATGTTTTATTTGCTCACAAGCAAATGAGGAAGAATAATGTTCACCTAGAATAAGTGCTGTGGAGTTAAAGTAGATAAAATGCTTGTAAGTTCCTTAAATAAAGATGCTACAGAACTACAAAACATTACTACTGTAATATGCAACACCAGCTGTCACAACTTGCCTCTTATTTAATAGTTATTGCAAACTATAAATAAAAAATGAACTGTAAATACACAGTTACAAAACAGAAATCCTAAAACAAGTGAAAATGACAGTTTTATGCTACCACAGTGGATAAAAAAGTTGCTTTTCCAACACATGACCAACAGGAGGATGCTTAGACTCCACTAAATTTGTCTGGAAGTGTTAGTCTGTAAGAGAATGTTTCACGGGACCTGTCTTATGAATGAATAAACAGAACTTGAGAAAGAAGCAAAACTCACGGTCCTCAAACCGATGAAATGTGCCAACTATGTAACTAAATGCACTGGTTATAATGACCTAGAACTTTCTGCAGAGAGTTTTTAAACACAAAGGAAAACTTTGTGCCAAATTTGGTGGTTTTATTATCTTATCAATCTAGCTTAATAAAACATGCTATCTTAGAAGATGGAGGTTTCTGACAGCATTTCATTAA